TTTATAATATAATAATGTAGTAATAATAATAATAATAATATAATATAACAATTATAACTATTTATAATATTTAATAATTATTATTAATGATTATTATTATAATAATAATTATTATAATAATTATTATTATAAATATTATTAATAATTATAATTATTATTAGAAACATATTAATAAACATATTTTCAGTGCATACATACATTTCAGTTGTTACCAATTGTTTTTTTTTTTTATTTTAACAGTGAAATTAATAACAACCTGCCTAAATTGAAAAGTTTTAATATAGAAAAATTCTGGCTCTGACTGCAGCTCTTTTTTTACCTCAGGGAAATCAATTATTAAACCGAAAAACAGAGCCTCTACTCAAATATTCACTAAAAATAACTTATAAATGTGGCACAAGATCGAAAGTAAGGGACACCCAGTGAGGATCGAACCCACCACTCAGTCGTAATTGTGCCAGCTAGATAAGCTTGCTAACCACTACACCGCCTCGAATTAATAAATATGATACCAATTACTTTAGACATTGCTTTGTTTACGTTTGGAAACGAAACAGAACAGATAGAAACATTTCCACAGTCGATGACGAGAAGGATTTCGCTTAAAAGGCATTACACAACCTTGCCTAATGGGCAAAAATTCTTCGTGGCTGAGTTGGTTAAAGCACGCCGGATCTAAAGATGGTTCCCTCCTCCCAGAGCGACGCAGTTTCTAATCCTGTCGGATTAATAAGATTTCTCGAATTACCCACTTTGTAACAAATAAATAAAAAGAAAAAGAAAAAAAAAGGCCGTCTATTCCAAATAAGAAGTGTCCACTATAATAACGTTTGAAGTCATAAAAAATGTCTGGTTAAAGAGAAATCTCTCTATATAGAGAAGCGCTGTAGTCATGTGTGTAAATTGTTGAATGAATTACGTGCATGCGTACGAGCGTGTGTGTGTGCGTTCGGGGTGTGTAGGTTGCACATATCTGTAGTTTGGACTTTTTTGACGATGACAGCCAACACTGAAGAATAAGAAATGAATTAATCTATTCTGACTGAATTCAGGGTTATCTATCTTTATATATATATATATATATATATATATATATATATATATATATATATATATATATATATATATATATATATATATATATATATATTGTTTTAATTACAACAATTGTGGCACAAGGCCAAAGGGTATATGAGGATAGTCTGAGCGATACTTTCTATCCTAGACCTAGCTAATCTGATTCACGGCCCATTCATTCGTTACAATTTGCTCATTCCCCACAAAAATACATCGCTCACCATTCAATACTACATATACCACAATACCAGAAATTCACGACGAACCAAAAACACCCCATGACATATCATTTCAATATCTACAAATAGTTCAAATGTCCCCTTTTTCCATTGTTTTTTTTTTAAATATATATGCCCATGAAATGAGAGGGGAGGGGATGAACCCAGTAAACGAAACTCAAGTATAATAAAACATTCAAACAAAACATAACAGATGTTAGTAGGACACAACCACCCCACAAAAATAATAAGAGTGGGCGCTGTATTCTGACTTTAGACAGAATCAAGAAGTACACTCACTAACGGAGAGGGAAGGATAAAAATATACATATACGTATGCTGACGAACAAGAAATTCTTATTTGACATCTGATTGGTTCACGAAGTCGTGACGTCATGTCATTGTTGAGCACAGATCTTGTTTCTGTTTGGCTCGCCAGACTAGGACGTTAGATCTGTGTTGGAAATGTTTCTGATCTATTCGCCAGATTATAACGTTATATCTTTTTTGGAAGTAGATTTTTCTCAAGATTGGTTCGTGAAAACAGGACTTCATAACCTAACGATTCTGAATTTTTTATCCATTTTTGCAATGATGTAACTTACTTGGATCTTCTCTTTTTAATTTCTGTTTAGGATTGGGTTTCCGGTTCCGTCTAAAGTTTTTTTCATTCTCTTTAACTCCCTTCCGTCTTAGTGGTATCGCCTTGCTTGGAGTGAATTAATTAAAAACAAGTTTTCGCTATAGTACAACGTTACAAGGCAACGTATTTACAACGTTATGAGGTAACGTTGCGGGTAAGTTGCAGAGAGCATCGCAAAGTTTTCACAATCTCTATGTAAGGATGTAGTAACAACTTTTTATTAGTTAGGTAACGATCAGGATTATTAGACTGCTGTCTTACGCTAATTCCACAAATCTGTTTTTATTTATCACCGGTGCCAATATGGTTGGCGCCAGAAAATCCATCAGTTTTTGGGGATTTTTTTACATGCCAACATTATTTACATTAACACTTTCGCACAATTATAAAGACTTTTGAAGTTTCCTCTAAAGAACGTTTATTTCAATCTGAAGAATCTTTCGTTGTATCCAAATGAATCTCTTTTATGGAGTTACCTCAAAATCTACGCTAAAAATATAATAGAGTTTTATCGTCAAAAACTTTGTTATTATTAAAAGGAAAGACCAAAGAATTTCTTATTATTAAATTATATTTTTTAATCTTTTTCAGAACCTTGGAAATTTTGGTTCAAAATTTTGTTTTTCTTCCGTTAACAGGGAGTCATGAATTAGTATGGTAAATTTGAGCGTTTTTGCGGTGAAAAATACATTGATTTGGAAATTCTTTAAAAAAGCAGATAATTCTCGGATTTTATTGAAACTTTTAGAAATTATACAGAAATGATTTAAATTATTTTAGAAACGTTTCTTTTTTAGAAATCTTGGTAAAAATATGTTTCTTGCATCTGAACCCGCCTTGTTCATTTTTATGAAATTTCGAGAAATTTATTTTTGTAGCGCTTAAACTCTATATTAATTATAAGGACAAGTCCTGGGAGAAGTGAAATTTCCAAATCTTTTTTGTCAAACTCCAGTACAGAAAATTGGTTCGTAAAATAATAAATGCAATACATATAAGACATTATTTAATTAGAAAAGATTTTAATTGCTTTTAGGCATAAGCCTTATTATGAACATTATTATCTCAAAATAATTTTTTTCGATGAATAATGAATTTATAATTAAAATTGATTTTAAAAAATGAAAACAGTTCTTGCAAAAATTCATTATTCATCGAAAAAAATTATTTTAAATTTATTTTATTTAAATTATTTTATTTTAAATTTATTTTATTTTAGTTTAAAATCTTTTAAAATTCTGTAGCGATTAGAAGAAAAACTATACTTACTAATCAAATGGAAAACGTATTACAATTCAGCGATCCCAGTATTTTAAAAAGAATTGTAAATATTTTGTTTGTATGTGTTAATGAGTCTATTTAAAGACAACACATTTATATTGATAAAGAGAATTAGCTATAAAACTTGTATAACAGATGACAAACCGTTTTGCCAGACACGCATGCGTGAAAAACCCTATCAGCGGAAGTAATCTCCTTTCAGCATTTGGTCATGTGTGTTGCGGACCTAGGGGGCTATTTTTCCTCACTTTGGGCAGACAGCCCTCCTTTCATCAGATGCAGCATGGCGTAGGCTTCACACCTCACCCGCTCGCTAATTCACCAGCAGAGTAAGTTAAACTTTTCCTTCATTATTTACGGAGGCTCTTAAGAACATTGTTTGAAATTTTCTCCACATAAGAGAAGGTTCCAGATAGAATAACTATTTCTACCTTGTTTTCTGTGTCTATTTTCTCAGCACTTAGTTCTTGTTCAACATACGATTCCCTGACCTAGTAACAAGAGTTTGTTGAACACGAGATTAGTTGTGACTTTCATTACTTCGTGTTAACGTTACGCGTGTCTGCTCTATTAACGAGCAATTCATTCGTCGGTGCAGTGTGTTTAATCATTACCGATTACTATTCCATTGTAGCCTTGTACCAGGATCAATATAGCCCAGTAAATATTAAGTAGGCAACTTAAGGCAATGATTAGCGAAATGGCCTCCAGTAGACCGTTAACTAGTGTAGCGTGTTCAGTTTTCCAGGTGTAGATAGTGTCTTTCATCGAACTTGAATAGAGGTGTATCTCTTGTTTCCTGTTTAGGATTGGGTTCTAAAGTCTATTCAATTCTATACTTCTAACGTCTCCGCCTAAAATTCTGAAATTTTATTTACTATTTACTTACCTTTTTCCTCAGTAGGAGTAAACAAGTTTACCTATCATCCGGTTCACACTCTTCCCCGGTCTTTTGAACAGGATTGGAGGTTTATCCCTTGTTTCCTGTTCAAGATTGTGCTTCCGGTTACTTCTAAAATCTTTTTCTTTTCTTTCACTTTCGGTGGCCCCTTGCGTCTTGTTTTTTGTTTGGAATTGTGCTTCCAGTTACTTCTAAAATCTTTTTCTTTTCTTTCACTTTCGGTGGCCCCTTGCGTCTTGGCGGCATTATCACATTTCTTCGGGAGGTGCCTCTTACTCTGTAACCCTCTACATCGAGTGGCTCATGGGCCTTATACAGCGTGAGCATCATTTAAGAAGAAATTTTTAAAAACATGCTCTGTTATAGTAACCTTGTGTCAGATATAAGCAAGTAATGTTGATCACTTTAAGCTATGCCGATTGTTTGCGTGTGGGTTGCACACTGCCACTTTATACTCTCCTTGGGAGGGTGTCAGTTCATTCCCATTCGTAAAAAAAAAAAAAGATAAAGAAGTTTATCGTATGAAGACTCTTTTCCTTTTCAATGAAAATGATCATAGCGCGCAGAAGAATGGAGTAAGGACAACAGTATTTGTTCGGGTGGCAAAACTGTATCATCCCATGAGGCTTGTAGCGTATTCTATCGCAAACACGCCAGGGAGTTGTATGTTCGTGCAAAGGATGCGTAGGGTAGCCAGGGGTGGTGGATTTGAACCGTAACTTAAGAGATGTTTCCTACCGTTCGCTCACTTCATTACTCTGAACTAACCCGTTCTTTAATTTGTGTGTGCGTGTGTGTTATTCTGTTAGCTTACGTTTTATTTATGGTTTTGTTTATGAGCTTCCTTGCGGTAAAATAGTCCTTAACTCGTACCAACAAGATTCCAGGTGTCCGTATTATTCACTATACCTACAATAATTCTTTTTTCTTCTTTCTGTTTTTGTTTTCGAATGGCCCTCCCCCACAACGACACACACCAGTCTTTTACCTCCGGTGCATCCCGGCTTTTTCAGTCTCGTTTGACTCAACAATAGCCTCGAAGAATACGCCTTTTCCTCTGGGACACCTTTCGTCATCTCCTCTTACCAGAGGGGGTCGAGGTAAGCGAGTTTAACAGGTTGGCAGACGAGGATCAGCGCATAGAGTGTGAGGTAGTCTTCTATAAATACTCGTTTTTGAAGGAAAAAGATTCGATATTAATCTTAATTCTAAACTGAATGAAAGCAGTGAGAAAAAGATAAAAGGTAAACCAAATAATAAAAAAAAAAGAAAAAAATGGTAATGGTGAAATCAACCGTTTCCATTCAAGAAATATTCGACATTTATTGACCGAACAGTTAGCATTGCTGTTGGTTGAAATTTATAATTTTTTCCTTTAAAACAGTTTTCGAGAAAATGAACTTCTTATGACAATGGCTTTCGCTCAATTAAGTATTAATGGGAGTTTTCTTCCTAACCTTTTGTTTAAGGCAGTGTGGAACATCAACATCTTGATTATATCATTATTTTCCCTTCTGGTTGCACGTGGCACCTATTTACGTTGTTGCTACTGTTCCCCGGTCTTTTGAACAGGATTGGACGTTTATCCCTTGTTTTCTGTTTACGATTGTGCTTCCGGTTACTTCTAAAATCTTTTTCTTTTCTTTCACTTTCGGTGGCCCCTTGCGTCTTGGCGGCATTATCACATTTCTTCGGGAGGTGCCTCTTACTCTGTAACCCTCTACATCGAGTGGCTCATGGGCCTTATACAGAGTGGGCATCATTTAAAAAGAAATTTTGAAAAAACATGCTCTGTTATAGTAACCTTGTGTCAGATATAAGCAAGTAATGTTGATCACTTTGGTTATGCTGATTGTTTGTGTGTGGGTTGCACACTGCCATTTTATACTCTCCTTGGGAGGGTGTCAGTTCATTCTATTCGTAAAAAAAATAATAATAATAAAGAAGTCTATCGTATGAAGACTCACTTTTCAATGAAAATGATCATAGCGAGTTTTCTTCCTAACCTTTTGTTTAAGGCAGTGTGGAACATCAACATCTTGATTATATCATTATTTTCCCTTCTGGTTACATGTGGCATCCATTTTCGTCGTTGCTGCTGAAATCTCCGAGTCTTTATTTTTAAAAAGCTAGAGACACTAAGCACATGGCTTCCATGTCTCAGTCTAGTCTTTGTCCTCTGATATTTTAAACTGGATGCTAAATCCCATAATTTTTAAGGAGTGGATAATCCTTTCCCTTTTACCTTCCTCAAGGGATTTAAAACAGTCATTATCGTACCCTCTAAAAAAGTAGCAGATTCTTCATAAATCTCTTTAAGTGAAAACTGAACCGCTAATCTTATTTGGGGATCAGTCATTTACGTGCCATGCGTGATACACGCTTAGGCGATCATGTACCTTCGATACTGTTGTGGTAGGATCCACCTAATTTGCATAGTGGAGTACCGACCATATAAATATGGTTGGTACCGGGAAGAGAGGGAGGAATCAAGAGATTCAACTAGAGACTCTGCCCGACTGCGACTCAGTCAACACATTCTCCAGGAACGGTCTTACCAGGAATATACAAAAGACTATATGTAAATATTGTGTACACTTTCTTGTTTCAATACATTTTGTTCTAAGTACATTTTGTGTTGCATTATTATTCCATGCATTAGTCAAGTTTCAACAGATACATAACTGACAAGGCAGATCTTTCCTTGCAGTAGGTTGCCATTTCTTTCTACGGTATAGAACCCAGTCTGTCCTGCTATTTACCCATAACTGGGGAAAGAAGAAGAGGATTCATACATTTCTAAATGGTATTAGCACGTAAGTGAATGGATTCGACTGGAATTCGAACTCGGCTCTCCGATTACGAACCACTATCCATTGCGCTAATGTGGATGGGGATGCTAAAGCAAAACTTAATATTTTTGAGATTTCTTGTCTAATTCTTCCTTATTACAATTTAAAGTGGACCCCAGATTTTTAGTTATTCTACAAGTGTCCCCTGAAGTAAAAAAAAAAAAAATGATTGAGAAACCTGCCATAGCGAAATCCTAGGATTTCAATTTTTGGAATATCTTTGCAATAATTTTTAACGGTTGTTGCAAGTACGTCGAAGATGACAGGCCAAAATCTTGCCTATAAGTTTTATTTTTGTTTAGTTTTGCTCTTTTTTAATTCTATTATTATTATTATTATTATTATTATTATCATTATTATTATTATTATTATATACATTCTTTTATTGGCAAATATTTTAGGGATCTTCTTTTTCTTCTATCATGTTACTTACTATATCACTTCTTGTCAACATCATTAGTATTTTTCTATCGTCCATTATTATTATTATCATTATTATTATTATTATTATTATTATTATTATTAAGAACAAGAAGTGAGGAAAAATGTATGGGACAGGGAGATAAAGTGCTAAATACCAGGTTGGGCAAAGAGAAGATCTTTTAATAATGGTGTCTAGTGAGATGGTGTCGAGTACAACCAGGCAAAGAGGGGACGGGGGAATAGCTGGATAGTGCTGGATTTGACACCTGAAATATCTAGTCAGCAATGACAAGCATCACACAAACACAAAGATACAGGTGCACATTTTAACACTTTACACGTCATATGGTACCCAATCGATTATATGATGCCAACAATGACAAGTCGTCGACACAAATAATTTATCATATATATAAAAATATTTAAGCAACAAGAATTCGTGTAAACAAGTTTTGCTAAATCCAACCGATAAGCTGTTTAATTTTTCATTGTATTTTCCAATCTTCGAGTAAGTTGTTGCACATCCAAATCAAAATTGTGGATAAACTGGCCAAAGTTCATGTTTTTTGTGTTGTGCTTTTGTTCAATATTTTCGACGGTCTCAGTTATTATTAAGAACTAGATGTTGCCCCTGTTTAACAAAATTATGTTGGCAACATTTTGGCATTTTTTGGAAATCTACAATATAAATTCTAATGCTAATTCACGCGTAACTTATAAATGTTGTTATATGGAAAATGGTTTCCTGACTGCACCGTGAAAGAATGTATCAAACACATTATATGTGTTGTTACTTCTGCTGTTGTTGTTGTTATTATTATTATTATTATTATTATTATTTCCTTTTATTTCTTTTGTATACACATTTCCTTCCGGGTCCAAACCAGAGACCTAAGGTCCGAAATGGGCTTCATAACATTTTTCACTGATTAAAAAAAAAAAAAATTAAAAAACAAAAAAACAAAACAAATCACACCCATTTTACATAGTTAAAGCTCTTCGTAAAGTGTGAGCTGGACTTGTGATTATAATTTTTTGTATTTCTTTAAGGCATGAGCTACCAAGTATCCCTTCAACGAGGCATTCGGAACATTTTCCAATCAATCTGAGGGCTCCAACTACTTCTGAATTATTGATGTGCTTTTGTGTCACATTTTTGAGATTTCCCCTTCAAGAACCTCGTATTTTGAGAGTTTGTTAAATATCTTCAAAGATAGGTTATTATTATTATTATTATTATTATTTGTGAATGTCATGTTTCCTGCTTTGTATCCTGTAGAGTCGGATCCAAAATATTGTCCTTAGGCCCTATAAGAATATTGTCATTTAATTGATAGCACTTTTCTTAGCATATGGGATGATCCTAGTAGGGCGATTTTCTGGCAATTTCTATGTTGATGTTACTTGGGACACTGCTAGTAAAATTATCGATTCCCTTTCTCACGGGGCCAAGAGCTCTGATTACTATTTCTACAGTCTCACTATTATTATTATTATTATCATTATTATTTTACACGCTTATTAAATATTTTATATACACTTTTAAATACTTTCCACTGTGGTGAAAGATATGTGATTTAATGCTGGTTGTTTTTTTTTTAGCAATGGCTTTTGTAATTTTGAAACTTTTCCTGTTGTGATTGCTATATAATTTTTGGTATTATCTAATAATATTTGTCTTAGGTTGTACTTTGTTAATTGTGATGTGATATATATATATATATATATATATATATATATATATATATATATATATATATATATATATATGTATATTTTAAGATATTTTCATTTGTATCTATAAAAGAATGCATAAACATAAAATGTCTTAAAATAATTGTTTGGACTTTGCCCATTTCATAATATATATATATATATATATATATATATATATATATATATATATATATATATAAAAAAATGATCGGTAATTATTCAATATATTTTCTGTTTATACGTTATTTTATAGATACAATTTATTTAATTAAATACTCTGTTTTTAATTAAACAGTGTTAATTGCATTTACCGGCCTGAATGTTCGAGAAATTTCGTAGAAAATGTGCGTTCTCCCACAAGAATCGAACCTGTATTCCAATCGCCGAAGAATGTGTGTTTATAAACAGTAATTCGGACTTTGCTTCGCTTCTCTGTAGCTGATTGTTACAGCACGTCAGGTCACCTAGATTATCATCATCTGTCCCATGACCGGGTGTGGTCGTAGGGTCGCCGTGCAGCTGAGCTCCTGATCAATTCCCTTTAAATATCTGGACTGAAAGAGGAATTCATTTATTCGTAGCATGTCTTGGGAAAGTATACCTGGCGGAACCCATCCCACTCAAGGTCAAATCATTGCTGATATCCCCCCTTGAAGTCTCGCCTTGGACACTGGCTCGTCTTGAACACAGGCTATTTATTCCATCGTGAGAGCCTTGTTGATTAATATAACAAACCCTTCATCCAGCGATGCCGTGTCATACACAGCTATGGAGCCCAGATGACCCAGTTGTACTAGATGGCCGTTGAATCTACATGAAGGTTCATCCGCTCTTTGATAGGCCCTGTTTTTAACCATTCTCCTCACCAGAAAATCCTGGTGGGTGGACCGGATTATTCGACGCAGGCTCCAGTCATCGGCGAAGAAACCGGTTCCCCCACCAGGCATTTCTGTCTTTTCTTATCAGCTGAATACTCCTGGTAACTATAAGTCAGTCATTAATCTATAATGTATAATGTATAATGCGTAAAGAAAAGGCGGCAAATCGATATGGAAATCTGGTAAATCGAATATGTAAATGAATGAGTTAAAACAATTTTGCATAATTAG